GCATGCAGGTAATAAAGCAACCCAAGTCGAATCCCAATAAATTGCAAGGCTAAAGTTTGGTCATGCTGACTGGTGAAATTTTTGACCAACTAGTGAGACATTCTAAAAATTTTCAAGCCCAGTTTATAAGCTTGGAATTATAGGCAGAATTGAGGAGTGCTTTCTGGAAGACTGATCCTAGAGAATCTCAAGATACATGTGAACTAAGGAGGAAAAGCTAGCATTTTTATGCACTGCAAAATAATGCCTGCCCTGTTCTGGAGTGGAGGACCCTATGGCTGTTGAAATTTTTCTCAATACAGTATCCCACATCATGCCTTAATGGATGGAACAGTCAAAAGTCCATTTAAAGAGTTCCTGATTGAAACTGGCAACATCTGAAACATGCACCCAAGTGAAATGTACACCGTGACATAACCTAATCTGATTTTGAAGACCCCCACCTGTGGTCTCTTTCCAATTAGTTTTAAGTAAGGTTGGGCTTGTTACATACAATGTGAAACCAAAGTAACGAGCAGGAAGAGAATTTGCATGGTCTTTTAACCCATATGTGACCTTTAGATTTTAATGTATAACTGCACCCAATCTGATGTTACATCATAGCAGGTCTCTAAAGTTGCCATGTAATGCCATCTCAGAGAATCAAAGCTCAAATGCACACAATCCCAAGAGAGCTGGGAGGAGGAATATGGCAGAATAATGGTGAATTTTCCAGTCTGTGAGCAAGAGAATTTCTCCTTAAAATGAAATTAATTAAGATGCTTCAATTTTAGTTTTTAATATATTGAGTTATAAGTTCAGAGTTACATATTGAATATTTTGTGTTTCGTTCCATTGTGGTTATTTCCTAATAATGTTTCTGCCTGTCAGTATCAACCATATACTGTTAATATTAGGATGAAGTTATCAATGTATTATTAATATTTTATCACACATGCTGTTTTTGTCACATATGAACAAAAAGCCTAGCTGTTAGGTCTGGCGTTATTTTCAGCAGAATTAACTACTACAACTTCAGTCACAAGTAAATCCAAAGCATAACCCAAAATCGAATGTGCTTATATTTCTGGTATTTGATAACCCACCTCACAAAGACAAATATTTTTGAGAGTCAAGTGTTTTCTGCCTTCCATTTTTATTTTCTATTTATTTGATTAGGAAAAGCTCACAAAGGCAGCTCTCTCATTTCTACTTATAAAATCCAACTCATCCCCCTCCTACCACGCTCCCTCCTCTTTGAGAGCCGAAGGTACCAGGCGTGGTTGCAGTTTGCACAAAACCAACAACTGTTAAAATGTGTACCTGGTTTAAAACTGACTTCTCCATTCTAACCAGCTTCCTCAGTATTTTTCTGTTCCCACACAGAGCAGGAAACAGGCTGAAATGTACTTCGCACATGTGCCATGAAAACTGTGGCTTGAAACCACCACTAGCAGGAGCCACTTTCTACTCTGAGGATCCACATAGTGTTTGCTGTGGTTTTGTGAAGCTACAGAGACCCCCGATGTTCACACAGGCACATTGCAGTTTCCATAACTCCTGGCAGCTCCTGTGCCATAAGCAGGAGCAGGGCATTCTCTCTCTCTCTCTTCGGGTGAGCGAAGCTGAAGATGGACTGCCGGCATCCATTTCCTGAGTGTCAAAAAATGCAAGGTTCCTCCCGGAGTTAAAAATCACCCTAGCCCAAAGCATTGTGGTCAGATTAGTCATCAGCAAAACAAGCTGCAGTCCCCAGCGGTCCTCTCAAAGCCAGGGTGCTAGCTAGCTCAGCTTCCAAAACAAAAAGAGTAAGGCTCTAGTCCTTGTGGAACCTGAAATGAAAGGAGCTTGCTAACACATTTCACTCCTTTAACCAATGAAGGCACAACAGGCATTCCAGATACTGTGCTAGCTAGAGAGATAAAGGCAAAGTGGCTATTTGCCTATAGAAGGGGCTTTCTGCTTAATGTCCTTATTGTTAGTTGGCACTCCTGAGGCAGTGATTTTTGTCCATAGAAAATACCTGGAAAATCCAGAAAGTGCAGTTGTGATTGGGCAGTATTAGCATGTCTAGGGCACAACAAGAGCTGGCATCAACAACAGGCATTCCCCCTGTGAGTTTTATTGGAGCTTCACATACAGTCATCACCCACTGCTCATAATTTCCCTTGTGTTTTTTTTCCACTTCCATCTTTTTCCTCATTACAGAAAGAAAAACAGTACGTTGCCTGCTAAAGTGACGAGCCTTCTGCCTGAAAACGCTCTCTTACTCAACAGCAGGTTAAGGCTGTCAGGGGTTACTAGTCATGATGGCTATGATATATTTCTTACAGTATCAGAGGAAATATCCCAGCGGTTGCTGGGAAAGATGGAGAGAGAGCCCCATTGCCCTCCTGTCTTGCCTGTAGGCTTGCCATAGGTTTGTGGCTGGGCACTATGAGAAGAGAATCTTGTATTAGGTGGGCTTTTGGTCTTCTTGTGTTTATTTATTTATTTATTTATTGTCATCATAAGTATATACATAATTTCTGAACATGTGTAGGCTTGCATCATTAAAGCTTAAACTGAGCCTACCAAATAGGAGCAGGGCAAGAAAGAAATAAGAGGATGCTCTTTCAAATTTGGTATTAAATTATAGAAGTACAAGGGTTTAAAAACACAAATATTTTTAAAAAATATTTGTTACACTACTGAAAGCAATTAAAACAGTCATTTTCTCCCCACTAGTCTCTATATGATTTTTCAGTGTGGTGTAGTGGATAGATGGACTGGGACTCAAGAGGGTTGGGTTTGAATCTTCCCACTCAGCCATAGAAACTCACTGGGGAAGTGGAACTGGTAAAACTGCTCCTTAAATACCGTATCTCACTTTGCTTGAAAACTCTTTTAGGTTCGAGTTCGATGGCATCCTTCAGTCTCGAAAGACTATGGTATCGTGCTCTTTATCGAGGACTTGGAACAGCGTCTAGTGTGGCTGAGAAGGCCAACTCAAGAGTGACAATCCCTTCCACACTGAAGACACATCCAATCTGTCCCCTGTCCAGATCCCGGATTTTGCTGCTTTTGTAACTGCCTCTTTGCCTCGGCCTGCTGGACAAGGGTCTCTTCAAACTGGGAGAGGCCATGATGCACCACCTGCCTCCAGGCTGAACGCTCAGATGTCAAGGTTTCCCATCTGTTGAGATCCATTCCTAAGGCCTACAGATCCCGCTTGCAGATGTCCTTGTGTCGAAGCTGTGGTCTACCTCTGGGGCGATTTCCCTGCACTAATTCTCCATACAGGAGATCTTTTGGAATCCGACCATCAGCCATTCTCACGACATGCCCAAGCCAACGTAGACGTCGCTGTTTCAGTAATGTATATATGCTAAAAATTCCAGCTCGTTCTATTTGGAACTTTATCCTGCCAAGTGATACAAAAAATGCGTCGGAGGCAACGCATATAGAACGTGTTCAGCTTCCTCTCCTGCCGTGCACAAAGGATCCAGGACTCACTGCAGTACAGGAGTGTGCTCAGGACACAGGCTCTATAGACCTGGATCTTGGTATATGTCGTCAGCTTCTCATTGAGCCATACTCTCTTTGTGAGTCTTGAGAACATGGTAGCTGCTTTCCCGATGCGTTTATCCAGCTATAAGTTGATTCCAGCTTGACAGCACATAATAAAACGATTGCTTTTTGTGTATTTCCAAGTGGTGTATTTCCATGGTGGTGGTTGCTTTTGTCTCTAGTGTACATGCACATAAATATCTTCGCACCATAAGGTACCACGCATAACTAGATAACCCAGTCAATCAGTAAAGAAGAGAGGTCATGTCTGAATGAGCAAGGGCGCAATTCTAACCAACCAAGATGGTGAAGTTGAAACGAGGCTGGTTGAAGCTGTGCTGAATCTCAATCCTTTCCCTGCTCTCATCTTGACAGCATAGCTAGCAGCTGTGTCTCTCAAAGAGGTTTGGATCCAGCTTGGTCCACATTCTCCTTTGCCGCTTCCCAGATTTGACCTCTTTGTTGGTGGATCTGTGAGAAGGAACCTCGACCCATTCCATCTTTGAGTCAGGATTCCACTACCTCCCAGTCAGTCTGTGTTGTGGGGAAAAGCCTATGTACATTTCTAGTTATTGTAGTTCAAATCCTTCAGAACATTTGAGTTTCCCCCACTGAAATCCTTATAATTGCACCTTTCCTCACAAAACAGAGCTTGTTTGGAAACTCATTTATATCACCGCAGGACAAAAATCCCACGACTTTAACCTTCACGAAGTTGTCCCTAAAACAGCCATTTGCATATACAGTACCTCTCTTTTCTTGAGGGCAGCCAAGAAATCAGAGGACTGAAACTCAGAAGGGCAGCAATGAAGGAACTAGAAAAGATTGTCAAGTGTAAGGATGTGTCACTGGAGACCAAGACCCAGATCCTTCAGACTCTTGTATTTCTGATCACCATTTATAGGTGTAAAAGCTGGACAGTGAAGAAAGCTGACAAGAAAAAGATTCATTTCAAATGTGGTGCTGGAGAAGAGCTTTGCTGATACGCTAGACTGCCCGAAAGATGAACAAGTGGGTCCTAAATCAAATTAAGCCTGAACTATCTCTGGAGGCAAAAATGATGATACTGAAGCTGTTCTACTTCAGGCACATCCTGAGAAGGCAGGGTTTTATTTGTTGATTGATTTGATTTATATCCCGCCCATCTGGTATATTCTACCACTCTAGGAAAGTCAATCATGCTGGGAACGGAGGAAGACAGCAGGAAAGGAGGAAGACCCAACACGAGATGGACTGACTCCTCAAAGGAAACCACAAGTTTCGAGTTTGCAAGGGCTGAGCCTGGCAGCTAAGGGCCAGCCATTTTGGAGCCCGCTCCTTCCCAGGGTCGGCGGACAACCAAAGCAGCCATCCGGGCCTGCCTCTCTTCTCTGACTCGATGGGGTGGAGCTTCAGGAGGGGGGCGGAGCTCCGGACGTCACATCCTGCTTGGGCCTTGTTGTGGGTTTTCTTTGAAAAGGAGAAAATATCTTTTTTTTTTTTTGCTGAAAGCGGGGCGGACAGCTGTGTCGGTGTTTCCTTAAAGGAGGGGGGGAGGCAGAAGAGGAGGAGGGCCCGCTTGATCTGTGGTCGGTTTTGTGGGGGGGTTGTGTGTGTGTTTTTTTTAAATATATTTTTCCAAGGAAGATTTCCTGAGGCTCTCGGGCGGGCTTGATCGGTGGCTGAGCCGGAGACTTGGAACAAAAGAGGCCCCCCCTCCCTCCTTTCCTCCTCCACCGCCGACGAGTTGGCAACAAAGAACCCTCTCGTGTGGGGGGAGAGAAAAAAGAAGAAAGCGGCCGGGAGGAAAGGCCGGTGGAGGGAGGGAGGGAGGGGATGCGGCATTAATCTTTTCCCCCCTGGAGGACTCGTGACTGGAGCGCACCCGTCCGTCGGGAGAGCCAAGAAGCGGGGAGGCGACGGCAACAAAGAGGATCCGGCCCGCGATGTGAGCAGCCCCACCTGCCTGCCTGCGAGCCCTCGGGCGCCTTTGCCCTCAACCGGCTTTGGGGAGGGAGGGAGAGGGGGTTGGCGGCGAGGATGGGTAGACGCCTCCCAAGGCTGCGCGTCCAGATTGGCACACGCACACCTTCACACGCACACCCCGTGTTTCCCCGCCTCGGATCTGCGGCTTTGGGCAGCGCCGAGGCGAGGCCCCGCTCAGGGATTCACAAAGGAAGCCGCGGCGGCGGGAGGGGGGGGAAGTC